CAGCCCATAACTCAGCATTTTTGTAATAACTTCCGTAGCGCGTAGTACGGCGTTGTGAAGCAGTTATCCCACTGAAACACCTTCAAAACGCGAAAATTGCTTTCGCGGTTTGCAGTACTTATCGAGTAAATTTTGTGCAGCAGTCTAATGGGGTCACTTCACCAGACCGAAGTATCAGAAACCAGACGCTTTGCTGCTCTGTTTCACTTGTACATACATATACAGCTGCGGAAAAAAAAACTTGGAACACGTAAAAAAACTGGAAATTTCTATTGAGTTATACTTGACTTTAATTGACTTTGTACCGAAATATTGTGGATATGCCTGGAAGAACTCTTTCAAGTATAACTCACTAACTAATCTGATTAACTTTCAGTAAAATGACCTTAAGCAAACATAGCAGTACGCGATATCTAAATTCCGGCACCCACGGCCAGCATCCGGATGACCGTCTTCAAAAACCTTCACCTCACCCCATAGGGCATCTATGAGATGACTGAAAGCTTGTCTCAAAGGAAAGAAGATCACCAACGCGAATGAGAAGTTCCATGAATTTTGAGAAATTTGGAGTCGAATATTCGTCGATACTCCTGAGCTCCTGTGGAGTCGATTCCACAGATGATAAAGGCTCTAACCATGTCCAATAGCAAGCAAACCAACTACTGAGCAGTTTATATCCTGTTGAATTTTCGCTATCTGCTCATTTTTCCACTGTATTGCTGTCGGCTAAGAGCCTCAAACTGTTTGAAATTCGATTTTGTGGCTTGTTCCAAATATTTTCTTCCCGCTGCTGATGTTCTGTTCGCCTGATAGTTTGTATGTCCTCTGTAGTACTAGATCTCACCTGAAGACAACAGCTCCTCCTTCAGGAGGAGCATGCGCTAAGGCAGATTCCAGTCGCTGCTGATTATCGAGTTCGCTATCTTCCTCTTCCACAACACAATCAATCAGGTACTGCAAAGTTTCCACAACGCCAACATCAACACCTTCCATGGAGATGGACAGTGTATCGAGAGAATCCTTGAATTTAAGTAACAACAATAGCAAGTAATTAAGTAATAATAGTAATTTAAGTAATAACAATAGTAGTAATAATAGTAATGTTACGTTTTGTGCAATGATATGAAAAACTTGATTCAGGGAAAACAAATAATAGGATTGAAAATAATTCAGGTATTTCCACTTACAGTGTCCTCATCGAAATTTGGGATGTCGCCACCAGGAGCCACACATGTAGAGACACCTTGTTCGGAGTCAGATGGATCTGCTTCGGATGACAAGAGAAGGCGATTGCGCAAATCACTCTGCCAAGCCCTGTTAAATTCACTAGGTTTAGTAAAAAAAGCATGGTCATCTATGGTCGAGTATGAACGTGTGTGGGTCCAGCTGTGCAATCAAAAGTTACCCACCATAACGGTGTGTCTCGATAACGACGCGAAAAGCTCACCCCTTCTGTCACCGGTCCATCGAAGTGGTACAGCCTCTGCTTTCCATCCGACGTGACCAAAGTAACTACAGAGACATCTGATGGCATAGACGAAAAATTATCTTTGGTCAATCTGAAAATGACACGAAGAATTAGTTCTTGATTTGAAGTTCCAACTCCGACTTCAGAACTCATACACTACCTTGCTTCCTGCCAAACATATTGGATTGAAATCCGAGCTGTTACTGGATTCATTAACATCGTCGCGAGCATCTAAAGGAGCACAGCTAGAGCAAGCAAAGGAATATCCAGATTTACTCCAACCGAACTTCACACACACCTGTACAATTCTCGGAAGGTCGTTATGCTTGGCACAGTCAATGAACCACGCGGCAGCAGCACTTTTCAACTCGGTGCGAGCTCGTGAGACGGACTCATCAGCCAACACTCCCAGTAACAACATGACTGCTCTGAACACAAACTGATGAGAGGTAAAATGCTTCGAATAACAAACCCTTACCGGCCTTTTCATACTAGATTTTAACTGTAATCAAATGCAATCAAGAGTTCCAAACCTATTAAATGGCTTTGTACACAGTGGAGGTTGCTCGTCACCAGTCCTTGTAAGCATCCACATCCGGTGAAATGTCTGAGCAGCTTCTGCACTGATCATCTGAAAGAACAGACTGTTCCTCTCACCAGTTCAGCACGAGAAGAAGTTTTGAAGCACACAAGAATCTCTTGAAAAGTGCGTTTGAGACACTAAATTAGTATATTCAGATACTTTTCTTACTGATCAAAAATCCTTTTCTTCTTTGAGTTCCGTTCCATGTCTCCTTACTCTAACCGCACCATCCTCAATGTGCAGCCCCTGTGTCGATACCAAAATCCCGCAGCGAAACACACACTGACGGGTAGAGAACGTCTCAGGGGTGGAGAGCGACTAGAAGTGGGCTCAGGCAATTAGCGCAATTGGTTATGGTTAGACGTGAAGCTGTCACTGCGGCAGCGTGGGCGAAGCATGGAGAAGGCACTCGGGTATCACTACCTTCTAACGGCACTTCGACCGGAGAAGGAGGTACGCTACCCCCATTGCCTCAAACATGGCGAGGACCAAGATCTACGGCGAGGCTTTGTCAATGATTCCACTGTGATGAATACGCTTGACTCTCAAACAACCTTGCCTGCATTACCTCATTCTCGATTAGATTTGCCGTAATATATTAGGGGCAATAAACTGGAATTGAATTTTACCGCATCATTGCTAGTCAGCGCAGATACTATGTGATGTGCTCATATCCTGCTTGGTTCGTTTGGCCCTTTCTCAGAATGGAGCGCCATCAATCGTGACAATCGCTCGTGCTCTTGTGCGCACTGTGACAGACCAACCCCTCGCCATATTGCTTGTCCGCAGCGCTGAAATTTCAACGCTCTTATCTATTTCGGCTGACATTCCATATAAATCGTGGGAAGTTAATTGTCAGCTTTCGAATACCCGTTCTCGTTCCAGCTGTTGGAGTTGCGACGCAAACAGCAACGGCTTTAACAACACTGTTGTTGGATGCACATCTTCAGCTCTGAAAGCAGTGAATATGACGCTGTGCTGGTCTGGGGACCATATTTGCTTATCGCCGGTCCTTTTGCTATTTTCAGTCTTATCACCAGTTTAGACTTTGTAGACCTGTGAATCCTTGCGAGCGGCCGAGGCGGCCACTGTGTACTAAGACCGTGGTCGTAGCGTCAAGCAGGCTTTTAAAGGTATCTAAACCGATTGTGAGTTTCCTGGTAGGCCCCCAGCACGTCCCAAATATCCAATAAAAGGCATGATGAGTCACCGTTGTAGCGAGCCCCAAAAACTTTATTAAGATGACATATTTACGATTGCGTGACCAGTCATAAGAGGATTAAAGTAAGGTAGTCTTCGGCCCGTTGACAATTCCTTTGTGGATGTGTACACGCTTTACTTCATCAGGAATCGGTTGTGGCTTACTTGGCGATGTGGCTATACAATGATGGCGGGTGGCCAGCTGTACAAGTCAGTGTTTTATCTCCAGACGGATCTAGTACCATTCAACGTCCGCGGGGTGAGGCGCTTGGTTGGCCTGGGCGGGAGTCGACCGGGTGCTGACCCGGCGCCGGCGAGTGGTAAGGTGCGCAGCTTGTCCTAACCAACTCCGCGATCAACAGTTCATACCTATGAAATGTCTTACAAGAAGTAAGGAGCGGAATACTCGTTAGTGACACCCGTAGGCTTCTGGATTGCCACTTGCGCTTTTTGCTGTGGCCAGAACTGATGAACACTTCAAATAGATTGAAACCACGAGCTCAAAAGCAGTTGTTCTTGCCGTCAGATCAGAGATGTCGATAAACTACAAGCAGGAAATGTGAATGAGTGTAATTGGAAACTTGCTATTGATGATCTTTACAATGTATATTAGAGGAAGAGTTTAGCTCAATAGTTGGGGTTGAGCGAAGCGCATTTCGTCTTTAAATTGAAACGGCAACATTCATAAGAACTGTGGGAAGATTTTTCGAGCTGTTCTTTGAACCACTCGGACCGTCATAACGTGTTTTTCTTATTTTTGATTGAATTATCAAGAACAACAATTACCTTGCCAGTAAATTCATCAGTAATAGATGGAAGATTTTACACCTGGTTACAAAAGACGGCAAGCGCACCATTGCGACTCCAAAACTCAGAGAAAAATTTTGCTGGAACTCAGCTTATATGTTATTCGGTGTCCTGACCTTTAATACGACATTCATTTTTGGCAATGGCACCATACAGCGCCAATTTGGCGCCACCAGCTATCCCACTAAGATCGGTGAAAACCTGTATGCGGAGGTTATTTGACATCCTGATCACGGATATGACATTCTTTTATGTATGGTATGGGGTGTAATTCGGCGCCACCAGTTCTTTCACCTGAGTGGTGAAAACTTGCATAACACTGTCGATTGATACCTTGAGCAAAACGACTTCATTTTTCACCAGCGTAATTTAGCTGAGCTCACAATGAGCCTAGCAAGAATGATTCGTGCCAGGCTCAGCCTGAGCAGAGCGCATTCAATCGGAGCGCTCTACACTCGCTCCGGCGCCAAAAGTGAATAGCACATTCGTGATCAGGATGTCAAGTGAGCCCCATATACAAGTTTCCACAGATTTTACTGGGAAAGATGATGGCGCTCAGGCGCTGCGCCTAGATGGCACCAGCGCCAAAAATGACTGTCATATTTGTGATCAGAGCACTGAATAACTTGTGTGAGCAAAGATTCAGCGAAAAATTGAGTTCTCGAAGTAACCGTGAATAGTGCCCGAAAATGCAGTAATAATTTTGAACAGGAAAAATCTTGGCAAGTTTTATACAAAGCTTCTTTTCCATGCTGTCGCACGCTGCGCTATGTGCAGCACGCGATCCGCAGTGGATTTATTCAAACGAACCTGTGATGTAGACGACATTTGTTGCACCCAAGTTTCAGCGTCCACGACCTAAACACGTGTGGCTTAGGAAGGGCACCATAATGAACATATAA